TCGATAACAGTGATCGATAAGAGAGTTTATTAAAAAAAAATATTCAACATTTACTGGACATATTATTAACACATAATCAAATATAATACATAAATAATTACTGACTTCAAGTGATGTTCAGCAAATTGCTCACTAATAATTATCAATAAATAATTAATGATAAAAAAAGAGCGCGCAGCACGAAAAATCTATAAGACTGTAACTGAATTAATGAGACTTATTAAAGCGTAACTAACATCAAGTGCATTAAATGGGCTCAAATTCTGTTCCATCCAGGGCTGTACTTTTTCGATATACACCTGAAAGCAACCATATCACATGCTGTTATCCAGCCTGTATCAGCTGATCAGCTATAAGTCCATGTTGCTTAAGTATTTCTTTAACAACTGCTCGACAGTGCACCTATAATTTCAGACTATGCACAGTCACGCACTGCGAATTACCAACGAAAAACACCCCATGCGATCAGGCCAACAACTCTCACTTTGTATAATTCGTACTTCATTCTTCATACACTTTTAGCCTTCGTGCTAGGACTACCTCTTCACGATCCGTATATTTCACGGGCTTGGCCAGAATACATTTGTTCATGCGACTTCTAATCCCGCGACAACTAAGCTCACAACCCACCGTACAACATCATACAATACAACATAACCAACGCAACATCATACACCACCTACAACACACCATATCACTCACCAACACAACCATATACAATTAACCAACCACACTCTACATCTACACTATACACCCACACTGCAACCACCGTCTTTTCCACCACCCGAATGATCAAAAGGGACCAGTCAGACCAGAATGGCTCTCTTTTTCGCTTTCATCCGTGACCTATAAGGTTATACATCAAAACGTTCCCGGCCGAGTGATTTTCATCGAAGTGAAGTACAAGTGTGTTGTAGGTGGTGTATGATGTTGCGTTGGTTATGTTGTATTGTATGATGTTGTACGGTGGGTTGTGAGCTTAGTTGTCGCGGGATTAGAAGTCGCATGAACAAATGTATTCTGGCCAAGCCCGTGAAATATACGGATCGTGAAGAGGTAGTCCTAGCACGAAGGCTAAAAGTGTATGAAGAATGAAGTACGAATTATACAAAGTGAGAGTTGTTGGCCTGATCGCATGGGGTGTTTTTCGTTGGTAATTCGCAGTGCGTGACTGTGCATAGTCTGAAATTATAGGTGCACTGTCGAGCAGTTGTTAAAGAAATACTTAAGCAACATGGACTTATAGCTGATCAGCTGATACAGGCTGGATAACAGCATGTGATATGGTTGCTTTCAGGTGTATATCGAAAAAGTACAGCCCTGGATGGAACAGAATTTGAGCCCATTTAATGCACTTGATGTTAGTTACGCTTTAATAAGTCTCATTAATTCAGTTACAGTCTTATAGATTTTTCGTGCTGCGCGCTCTTTTTTTATCATTAATTATTTATTGATAATTATTAGTGAGCAATTTGCTGAACATCACTTGAAGTCAGTAATTATTTATGTATTATATTTGATTATGTGTTAATAATATGTCCAGTAAATGTTGAATATTTTTTTTTAATAAACTCTCTTATCGATCACTGTTATCGATTTGTATATAAAAATTTAAACGAACTGACGAAACTTATGTTCTCACTTAAAAGTTATGTCAATTTAAGATATATGCAATTTTGGAATACCTCAGTAAGTGATATTTTTAAATATGCATTCATGTAATTGTAAACACAAAATCGTCAGAAAAGATTGATAACATCTGCTTTGTAGTTATTTTTTTGTACCAACTGTATTTGTTGTATAGGCATAGGTGCACCAATTATAAAGCGAATGATTTAGTCTTTGCTTGATAATCACTGTTTAGCTTCACCTTCCAAATCAGCACAAACAGTTATTTGTGAATAATTTTTCTAGCATTATAATAAATAGTACATACAAAATAACAAAAAAAAAATATATATATATATTTATGTATTATATATGTTGTTTAAATTTATTTTATTATTTATTATTATTTACTTTAACTCACCTCAGTATTTTGTTGACCGATGCTCTAACTGATAATATAATATATACAGGGTCGTTAAAAAAGTTGTTCTCTATTCATTTATGTAAAAGTCTTTCATTAGACAAAGTAGTCTAAGAAACCAGTCAAGATAAAGGCCCAAATTTCCACTGTTCCGTGGTTGCTAGTGTTAAAATTGAATCATCCGTTCAAGCCACTGTTTTAATGTGAAATGTGGTACTCCTTTGGGATAAAAACCTACAACCTCAACCATATTAAGCTGTTTTTGAACAATTGTCCAATATCATTAGTTAGATTTGCCAACGATTTCGCGCTGTCTCTTTAGCGGCAGCTTTCCAGCTTAGTTCATTTTTGTATCTCGAATAATGTTAAAGAAAAAGGTGCGCGTTGGAAAAGTTCTTATAGACTTGCCTTGTTCGGTTCGATAGTTTGCTTTTAAATGAGAACTCAGAACTAAAAACGACACTAAAATCGCAAATTTTACTCGTATATAGTTATTTAGTATATAGTATAGTACATAGTTAAGTGAGAATGTAATCTGAGGTCGATAAAGTATTACCAAATGCAGTAACAGAAATTAGAAAGCACTTTTTCATACATAAATGCAGATAGAACACACACCAGAAAACTGCATTATTTAGATCCAAATAATGGTTAAACTAAGTTCTTGAAATATTTATAAAATTTCCAAGTCAAGTCAGCATCAAATCTTTCAGTCAACTAGGATCCAACAACCGAGCTGCAAGAGTTTGGATTTTATCTTATATAGGAAGCAATTTAAAGCTCCGTATTTGCCAATTTGTTGAAACCAGCAACAATCAAGGCCTTTTTCTAGCGTTTGTGGTCAGAAATAATGAGCCAAAAATATGGTGGTTTAGGTTATGTAACTTTTTGGCCATGCAATGGCTTAATGGATCTGGAATTTTCATTCGTCCAAAATGGCAGTTTTGACTATTAATATCACCACACAGTGTGGAATTCCTTCGACATCCATTCCTAAACGACTATTTGTAAAGAATTTTTTGTTTATGAGCGCAGCGATTTCAGGTTAGAGCTATACTAAACTTAGGTTTTTAAAGCATGTCTAACTTAAAGTTTCCACACCGACATAAAACAAGCACCCTATACACAAATCCAAATAATCCAAATGGGGTTACCAATTTAACATTTGATCAGAATGTGTTTTATTCTGCGAATCTTACAAGTGTAAATAGTAGTTCGTTTGAAACGGTAATTATTAAACATATACAATACTCAATACCTATATGTATACTCGTATATATATTTTACCATAGCGCATAGGTGCACCTCTCAATACATAGGCATAAATATAATATATATGCAGATCAAAAAAAAAACTTTAATCAGCTCGTCGGTTACATAAATAGAAAAGTATTGATGATCTACGAAGGTAATTAATACTACTTGTAAAGGGACAAATGCAGTTATCAACCTGCAGCAGTATAAATAGGAGGCTACAATGAAGAAATTTAGTAGTTCACTAAGTGAAGTTGTCAATCGAGAAAATCAGAATGAAATACTTTATGTGTATTGTGATGCTTGCAGTCGTCGCGCTGGTAAGTAAACTTAACAAAAGCTTTGAGTATCCTTATGAGGTAATAAATTGTGAATATTCCCACTTTAGGTAAAAGCCGATGACTGGAGCCCAAAGACCGCTGATGATATTAAAAGTATTCGCGAGGAATGTGTCAAACAAGCGCCAGCCAGCGATGAGGAATTCGAAAAGAGGAAAGAGAATGAATATCCCGATGTAGAGTCAGTGCGAAAGTATGTCTGTGCACTAGTAAAGCATGGGGCTCTACGAGGATGGTAAAGG